ACGTTCCTCTGTTTCATCTCAACTCTTTTATAAACCAGAAGAGTTTCTGCTGATGTTCTGCCAAATGCATATTTTGCTTTCTCTGAGGGATCTGGAGCAGATCACTGCTCTGGTTGCTGTCTTGAAGTCCCATGCACACTGGGAAGTGTTTTTGGCTCTAGTTGGCTGCTGCCCCAGTAACTGCAGATGGATGCACAGAGGAGGATAATCAGCCCCTGAGTCTGCTGGACCTGGGGAGACCTGGAACACCATGGCAGAGTTTGGGGTGTGAGGGAGGCACATCAAAGGAAAATGCAGGTTCCTTATTCCAGCCAGGAGCTCTGGTAAAGATATTTATCCTATGTGATGTAGGATTTTTCACCTGACGGTGTCTCTTTAATAATTTTTGTTCAAACAAGAAGGGTTCCTTGAAGTAAGGCAGTTATTTTTAACCTCTAAAACCAGAAGAAAACTTTTCTGCTAAAACCCCCAAAACCACTGTACGATTTAGTAAAGCCTTTGATAACTGTAAAGCTTTTTAATTTGTTTTAATATTTCCTTTTTTCTTTAATTTTCCGTTCGCAATTGGTCTTTATGCTAAAGAAGAAGAAGAAGAAACCTTGAGAAAATAGAAGGGAACTGTTTTCCATAAGTGGTTTGAATTCATTAGATTTCTTTATCCGTTGCTCACCCCCTCCCTTCCCTATTAGAACAGTTTCTATCTTATGCCACAAGCAAATGTAATTTCTGTTGTTGCTTCTTTGCAAAATCCAATTTGTTATGATGTATTATGCATGCGAGGATAATTGCAGAGGAGGAGTTAAACTGACTGACAGTTTAAAGAGGTGCATTCCTTTGGCTGTGTCACTCACAAAGAGCAGCAGAGAGAAAAGTGGGACAAATTGATGCCCTGATGAAAGTATTAATCTGCTAAGATTTCAGATGAAACAATGGGCCTGCCCTAATCAAACCATATCCTCCAGAGAACAAAATTATGGCAGTGACTTCTGATACAGAGAAAATTACTACAGCCTCAGCAGCAGCATCAGTGATAATATCTGCCCCATTCTCTGTGTATACATTACTAGCAATTAAAAAGTGCTTGTCAGTACCAATCTTAGCATAAACCATTTTTTCCCAAGAAATGTGAGAGTTTTATGAGATTCTGTATAATGAGTTAGTCTTTTGCCATTTATTTTCATAGGAGGAATAGAATAAAGTATGTAATAATAATAAATAAGAGCAAAATAGCAAGGTAGGTAAGTATTCCAAGTGAAATCTCTTTAAAGAAAATGTGGAAGATTTTCACTGCATATGAGGATAGAGATTATAAATACAACAAATTATACCTTTGTAATTCTGATGCTGGGGAACGTGATGTATCTATTAAAATAATGGTGAAGTGTTTTATACTTTTTATTTTCTTTAACAAATTGTGGTGGTAAAAAAAGAGCTTTTAAGGTTAAGCTTCTTTTTCTTTTTACTCTTTACACCACTGAACTGCAATTCCTTTATAATATTTTAGAGATGGCTGTTCTGAAAATATTTGGGCCATTTGTTTTGGCACCATTTCCTGAGTCTGTCCCAGGCTGGACACAAACAGGTGTGTGGTGCAGGAAGGTTCCAGCAGGAACCTTTGGTGCTGGAAACTTCATGTTTGAAGCTTTCAGAGTCACTCCCAGCTGCCTGCTGTGGGAAGGGACCCTGCAAAGGATGATTCCTCTGCCCCACTGCCTCACACTGTCCTGCTGCAGGGCTTGGAGCAGATAAAGGAGTTTATTGTTGGTCTGAACTAGTGACACTGGTCTCTGCAAAACACAGTTCTGCACACAGTGGGAAAGTAAGACTGACCTTTCATAGTCCTTAATTTTGTAGGAACCAGGTTAGACAGATTAGCTCTTCAGATGAACAAACATTAATTTTGAGATGGCCAGTGGAGTCAAACTGGCCAGGTGTGGTGTCATATTGGCTCATTTCTTCAGGCACGTTGCATTTCCCAGTAAAAAGTCCTGTCCCTTTCTACTGAACATCAAGAACTGGGCACTGGAAACTTGCCTGTTACTCCTGGAGACTCTGCTCAGTGAGTATCTAAATATTTGTGTGTGCACATCACCCCTTTGCTCATTCAGTCACGTTAACTGTTTGTGGAGCTTGGGCTTCCTGTAACTGTGGAAATCACCCCCTGAACTTTTCACCATGTCCCAGTATAGAAGTTCTACAATCCTGTTAGGGACAATGTGAGATATGAGAAAAGCAGGTCAGGTCTTCCTTCCTTGATAAACTGGTTGGGTGTGAATGCTACCAGAGAACAGTCTGACATTGACGGGGTGACATTATGAGATCTCCCCAAGAACCTTGAAATGATGGAAACAGGAACTTTTTTTTTAAATAGAAATGTCAGTGTACTGCCATCTTACTGCCCCAAGAAACACTGAATTTTTCTTCTTTTATCTGGGCTCTGACAAAATCAAGTCTCTGTATACTTATAGACTGAATGGGATCCTATGATAATAGTTTTATCCCAGTAAAGATCAATTCAAAGAAAAAGACCTCACACATAAAAGCCTTTTCTGAGTGCTAGTTAGCACATCCATTATAAATAGAATCTGTTTATTATTTCCTCAGAGTTGTCTTATCAAATCCTCATAGAAATAAGATCTATCTAAAAGTGTCTTTAGAAATGGCAAACAGATACACAAATTGAAGCAAAGCGTTGCTATTCATGAAAATAATCTTTTTACGGGATATTTTCGTACAAAGAGAAATATTATATTTGGTAATTTCTTTTCAAAGAGACACTTTAGGCTTCTGTAATAAATAGTACTGTTATCAACACACACAAAAGTCAAGTGACTACAAATGCTTATAGAAGTGTCATGTACTTCAGTAACAAATATTCCTTGCAGTCACAGAGTTGCGTGGTCCTGAATAGAATGGAAGTACTCAGAAAATAAAACAAAATCCTTCCAAGCTTTAAGCCTTTTTTGTGCCAGCTACTCCAGCTGGTGAAAAAGTGATGTATAAGTGTTGCATATGTTTCCAAAGCTGATGACCTAAATTTTCAGAGCACTTTTCTTTCCCTCTCTGTTTAATGGGTGTGTGGGTGCCAAGTGCTTGGAGCAGTCAAGCCCCCAGCTCAGGTGAGAGCATTGCAGCCCAGGCAGCCTCACAAAAAGTGCCACTCCCAAAGGAAATGTGAAAGGATCATTACACTGATGCATTTCTGAAACACTGAGCTGCTGGAAGCCCTCCAGGTGCCTGCTCCTGGCATCTGTGGCCCCCAGCTTCAGGATCATGGATCCACAGAGTGGAGACTGCCAAGGCACAGTATTTCACAGCTGAAAGAAGCATAATTCTCCCTCTGAAGTTCTGGTACTAAGTGTAAATCTTAAAAAAAAAAAAAAAAGGAAAAAGAAAAAAGTCTTGGCTTAGCAGCTCCTTTCAATCTCATAGCAGATGAGATATTGCTCATAAAAATCATCACTGACTTCTGGTATGGAAATCCTGGTGTACACAGTCATTGAGTAAGGAATCTGGCATACACAGGATACATCAAGTAATTGGTTTTAGAAATTAGTAGTGAAATTAATATGCATCAACCAGTGGTAATTTAGTCCCCATTTAACCACAGTATCATCTCTGGGTATTTTTATTCTTCTGTTCTTTTGTTAGAATGTCTGTTTGGACAGTGTAGTTGTTACAGATTTCTCTGTAAAGGTCACTCAGTTGTTCTCACTTTTGGTCAGATAGTTCTTTGTACTATCTGTAAAACCAGGCAGCTGTGAAAGAATTTTGGGAAACAGTTAAGCGAGATCTATTAAGTCTGGCTCAGCCAAGCTTTTTTCACAGTGAAGAATAAGCTTGTTCTTCAAGTCCAGTTCAGGAGCACTGTAATTTCATGATGATTTCTGTAACTGAAGTCAAAACAGCTGTTGCAGGTGGGTCTCATCCCCCCAGCCCACACTGATTTAGACCCTTAGTGCTGCTCTGCAGGATTCCAGGGAGAGGGTTGTCCAAAGAAACCCTGTAGGCTGGATGGGATCACAAGTTTATCAGTCAAATGAACTGCAGTGCTCTTTAGGAAGATTCCCTTTGTGGAAGAAGGAAGGAAAGAGAAGAAGACAAGCCAGGCTTGCAGAGGGTTATCCCTGGAATCACAGTCAGGAGCAGGGCAGGGCAGAGCAGTCCCATTGCTCTCACTTGCAGGTGTTCCATGGAACTTGGAGCAGCCTGGAATGTGCTGTGAAATTCCTGCAGGTCTCTCAAATATCTCCTGCCATGGGCCATGCACAATCAGGGCCTCATTCAAGACTAAAGACATTTTTCTTCTACTTTGTGTGCCTTTATGATTCATCTGAGTTTATTTCTTTGCTCTGAAATTTATTAAAAGAAAAAGTGCATATCAAAAGGGAAACAGGTTTCACAATGTTGCCTTTGAAGCTTGGAATCTCCCACAGAAACCTGACTGGAACTTCCAGTGTGGTTTGCCCCATGGAGAGTGGGTGAAAACATGATTTGGAGCAGCGTGACAATGGCTGTCATCTCCAAATTCATCAATTAACAAGAAAATCCTTCTGCCCACAACTTCTGCCTGCATTCAATTAGAATAAAGCTGTAACAGAAAACTGGATGGATTAAAGAGCATTTGGTTTTCTTCCTCTCCAGTAGCCGAAATTCAATATAATGCAGCTTTGTTGTTTTGCTTGTGTAGATCTGGTTCCTTGCTTGGTCAGGCATTCTGTCCCAGCCACCTTCAGCTCCCAGAGTTGCTAGAGCTGCTTGAATTCTGTTCATATTGTGTATACAATGCATTTGTATTATCTATTGTTTATTCTAAACTTCTGACTTTATTTTGCCAAGGCTATTTGTTTTTAAATTAGTAATTTTCACTCCCTCATGCAATTCTTCTAAATTACTTTTTGGAGTACTGACTATTAATATTTTAGGTATCTTTGATGTTTTACTTTATAGTCTTCAATTTTATTTTACATTTCACAGGTTCCTAGTTGCAAATAATGCTACAGGCAATTTTCTCACATTGCAACTATTCCTTGAAAGGTATGCTAATGTAGCAAGGCACTTGCAATACTGGGGGTTAAGTTAATCACCCAAAATGAGCCGTATTACTGTCAGTGGTGTATAAAGACATCCCAGAGTGAATTACTAGGCAGACTAGCATTAAAGCTCCTTTATGAAATAACAGAACCTGAAGCTGTGCAGAAGTAAGTATTCCTTTCAGAATCTCTTGAGCTAAGGAATCTGGGATTTGTTGTTTCTGGACTTGAAGGTGCCAAAAAAATACAGTGTTTGTGTTTTCATTAAAAAAAAAAGAAATCTGCAATATTGTTTGAAAAGCCTTTGTGAATTAAAAAAAACCAAAGTAGTAATTATTGTCTTTATGTTCGTATATTTGCACAGAAAAAGGACTTGCCTGCTCTGCGTTCAAGCCAAGCAGAGCACCCAAATAAGAAACTGATAGATCAAATCACATAATTTAAAATGAAAATTGCAACGATTCTCTTATCCTTAGACTTATTTGCAAGTCTCCAGAAGACATGTGCAATAGACATATATGTTAATTTATTCATGACATAGTATAATTCCCAATATCTGTTTAAATGGACCAACTGAACACTGTGTTGGAAATGTCCCCTCCCTCCATATCTGGAACTAAGCAATGCTAGCAGAGGAGGTGTCTGGAAAAAAGATGAAATAAGATTTAGTTACATTGCAGGGACACGTGTTTTTATTACAACAAATACACTACAAAGCAGAAAAGATAGGGAATACACAGGAAAGGTTTATGTGGAACACAGTATTTATTTGCCATGCATATTTGATAGGCCTTCATTAAATACGCAATAGAAATGTCAACATAAAGTGCTGTTTAGATGGTCCTATAAAAACAAACTGCACTGGTATTAGAATTGGAATGCACTAATCTTTGGTTAAATACAAGTCTTATTTGCTATCCAGCAAACAAATGTTTGGTTGAGTGTTGTTAAATAACCATACTTAATTTAATTTGCCCTTCATTTATGAAGTCTGATGGAGTGATACTGTGTCAGTGTAACCAACACTTTCCCCTGTCAACTGGCTTTATATGGGGTTTTTTCCTTCCTCTCACTCATTGACATTCAATCACTAACAATTATCACCAGCCCACACCTAACTCAAAATTATTTTTTCAGTCTTGCTGAATCACAACCAATCCTTCTTGCAAAGAGGAAATAGCATCCCTGTCTGCAAGGAATGTTTTTGTATCCATACAGCCACCTGACATAACCATAACAGATAAATCTATTCACTAGTGAAGTAACATTTGAGTTAGGTGCCCACCTTTCTGAGTTGGAATTTGAAATTAAATGTTAAACATTCCTGAGTTTGGGCATTTAGGTTTGCATTGTTTGTTTGGGTTTTTTTTGTTTTACTGGTATATACATGCTGACTTAGGAAGTTATTCCTTTCACCAGATTGGACTCAGGCTTTTAAGCACTGTTTATAATGATGGCTTCTATATACTGAAAATATTCTTCTACAACAAGAACAGGAAAGGTACCTTTAATCAGGATATCCTGTTAGGAATATAAAATATACCATACAGGATTGTCATGCAAATCTTACCTGGACCAGCAGTTTATAGGGAGCTTTAAATTGAGGTTTGTGCCCTGAAGCATAATAATAACTCTTCCTTACAGCCTTTGCAATTATTTCATTCTCTGTAATGTAATCACGGGTGTTCCTACTGCCTATGAGTCTGGTATTTTGGGAGGAGCATTACTGCACTGTGTTATTAATGTAATAATATTTTCAGAGGTTCCACGGGTGTACAATTTACGTAAAAGCTGCCTGTCTGCACTGTCTGGGTGGGTTTGCCCAGCAGTCACTCAGGTGCCTGCAGTGTGGTGCAGAGGGAGCCAGCTGTGAGTTCACACACAACGTGAGCGAGGCAGCCCCGAGCTGAGCACGGCCAGTCTGCTCTGCCCAGAGCTGAGGAAATCAGGTCCTGCTGGCCTCTGTGCCGTGGCTGGGGCTGGCAGTGCCCGGGCACAGGAGTTGAAGCCAGTGTGGGTATTCCTGGGCAGTGCAGCAGTTCCTGTGGACAGGGCAGAGCAGTGCACACACCCCTGAATCAGTGGTTCCTGCTTCAGTGGGTGGCTTTTTGTTGGGAACATTCCACCTGAACATTTCCTACTTTGCTTGCTCTGACGTTATTGCTATAATTTTTATCATGTCCTCTTTTCTGTCTTGTTTTTTCAAAAACAGCAGCAGATCCATCTTTCCTTGCTTTTGCCTTTAGCCCCTGTCCAGTTCTGCCACGTGTTTCAAGTTGGAGTGACCAGAGCATGTGTGTTATCTCCTTCTCCATGCTTCACAATGCCCTCTGTATCCGCCACATCTGGAGGTCTCCTGCCTAAAATAAACATCAGTGTGGTGCTCCACAGACTCTGGGGAGATAATGCCACGTGTCTGTGCCCAGGGGTGTTCACAGCAGGTTTCCTGCAGCCCAGTGCCCTCCAGGATGTACATCCCACACACGTTCAGAGCTACGAGGGAGTTGTGGTGTGCTCAAGGTATGCTGGCAAAAATTTCAATTGACAAAGGGCAATTAGAAAAAAAATTTGAAAAATATCAAGAATAACTCATGTCCAGTCATTTTTACATTCCCCCTCCAAATGTCAGTATGCCTTTTTTTTTTCCTCTCTCCCTCTCATTCCCGTTTCTTCGTCCTTATGTCCTCTGCCCACTGTGAATCTGACTCTTTAAAAATATGCTTGGATAGATAAAGCATCCTCTCCACTCATTAAAAGCACAGAAGGGTTGTGCATCGCTTGTGGTAGAATAATTCAGGGCATATCTTGATACATGAGAAATACAAAGGAAAAATAACACAAAATTTATCTCATTCAACAAGTTTATTACAGTAATTTATTGCTTTAAATAGCTGGTGAAACAGATACTATGAACAGAGCCAGGCAGATAGAGAGACATGCAAACAGGTCTCTGTACTTTATTGTTTTAGAGAATTGATGAAAAATTATAATCTTTGATGAAAATTCTAATCTTTGACAAAAATTCTAAACTTTGAGTGGAAAAGACCACAGGGAAGAAAAAAAATAAAAGACAAAACAGTACTGTATTTTGGGCTTTCATTACATCCTTCATTAAAGATCAGAATGAAAATGCAGGATTTTAATAATGAGATATAATTCAAAATAAATTAGACAATTAGAATAAACGCCTCATTAAAATATTGAGATTTGTGTGCTATGCAATGACCTTTTTTTTCCCCTCTTTCCAAAATATGGAAGTTTTGGTCGATGTGTTGAAGTTCCACAAAAGCTGTTTTGCCAAGGGAAGTTTTCTCCCAGCCAAGACTGGCCTGGGCTGCCTGGCACTGGTGAGCACTGGCAGGGACACAGCACGTCCCTCAGGGCAGACTGGCAGGAACATACCCCTGAGCTGTCCTGGGTGCTTTGGGGAAAAAATGATGTACATTTTGTCACTTTAGAAATTATCTTTGGGGGGAAATAAGGGACAGTAAAACAAGTGTTAGCACGACAGGAACATCCTGTCCAGCAGGCTTTTCATGGAAGAAATGCATTTCATTGCCTTTTGAAACGACCAGAGACACGGATTTGTTTGCTGTCTCGTACCACAAACACCTCATCAAAATGGTTTGAAGAGACAGGGAAAACCATTACCACGCTGAGCCCAAATATGCCCAGTTTCAGCCTGAGAGAAATTTGTAGCCTGAAGTCATAAGCCACTGCAAATAGGTGTTTATAATGGAAGTGCCATCTTAACCTTATCTGGAGTGGCACCCCTGCTTTGCTGTAATATCTCCTCTCCTCACATCTGTGAAATTGTAATCTGTCCTATGGCTGGGAACTGAGGAGATGATGAAACCCAGGGATACACTCTGAAATACCTTAATTTATCTGTACCAGGTTTTTACTGACATATAGAAAGGGAAGGTGAGCAGGGGGCGAGGGGCTCATGTCAGACAGATGAGTGCCTCAGACAGGAGGGGGAGAAAGGGAAACAGGGTGCCAGGTGACTGTCTGCATCATCACCACATTATTTTATAATACCTCAATATTTTTTCCTTCTCTTGAGCAAACATGCAAAAAAAATTGTTTGTGATGTTTGAAGGTTTAATCTGTAATATTTGGGTTTCAGCCTAGTGGACCTACAAGCAAGTCAGTGTAGGACATCCTAGTCCTGCTAATGAAGATGTTATCTCTGGAAACTTTCTGCATTGCTCAGCACTGGTGCCATCCAACTGCCAAATAGTGGTATGTGCTACACTGATTCCTTGTAATTAAAATAGCTGTTCCGTTTCTGCTTCTATCAAGTAGGCAGGAGGAGAGAGGCCTGGAATGCTATCTCTGAAAACAGGCATCCTAAATATTTTTGTTGTGTGACCACCTAGTTATTTTTCTCTTCTAAATCATTTGTTGCCTTACCTGACCTTTTTATAAATTGGCCATTTGTATCTTTTCTCATATAAATTATCTTTAATGGTCCAACAAATTAACTTGTTTTTCAGACTGTTTTTATGTTTCTACCCATTAGCTCACTGTAATGTTCAAGGAGATGGGATTTGACTCCTTAGATGTTTTCTTTCAAAATTATGGGGTTTTTCCCATTTGAACAAGAACACTTAAATATAGTGGAGGTACAAGTGATGTGAGCCTTGAAAGAAGTCAGGGTTTTAACTTTGGCAGAGAAAACTTTGACTGAAATAGTATCTCGTGTTTTTACCTGGGTGAGAACAAAACAAGGTAGAACTTCAGTCCTGCTGTCAGTCTGCAGGACTGTTCAGACTAACCTGGTGAAACACTGGGGTTTTTAATCTGCAGAGGAAAGGAATTGACATAAATTTCTGCCATCCAAAATCGCTAAGTTTGAACTTCTCCACTTGCCATATCTTTCTGTAGGCAGTTTTCATTTATTTCATATGTATAACAGATCTGTACAATGAAGGGCTCTCTTTTGGACAGAAAGCAGTGCAGCCCCTGCCCAGCCCTCTGGCCTCATTTTCTCAAAAATCACCCTCGTTAATACTCTGCTTTCTCCTTGTGACTCCTTCTGATTCTCCCACAGCTCTGAGTGCTCTTATTCTGGCTCAGGCAGATACACAACAGCCATCAGTGATTTCTCAGCACCTCACATTATTCACACTTCTGCTAATTCTGGCAGCTGGGTGACTGTAAGGGCCTGGATTTGCCTGTGGGTGTGGAGTTCCTCAGTGGCTGCAGCCAGGCAGCGTGGGCAGAGGGGCAGAGGCAGTTCCTGGGGGGGTGTGCCCATGTGGTCAGGGCTGGAAACGTGGAACTCACAGCCTAGGTAAAGAGAACAGTTGTATTTCCCACACATAGATGACAGTTGTACAAATAATGTGTAATTGCAAATGCACTATCCTCATGTATATTTTTCTGCCATGTGAAATAGTAGATATTTTGGAAAACAGGGGAAGTCCTAAAACAGAGAGCGAGAGACAGAGAGAGAGATTGAGACATAGATATAAAATGCTTTCACCTTTCAGCCAAATCTAATTGTCTGGAACATTCAGCACCAAAGTTGCAATTCATTATTTTCACAAGGATCTGTACAGACTCTTTCCCATATTGTATCTTGTAGCAGTGTTTGCCTAATTATCACAAGACTGTTTCACACTGTTTTGATTTTCTTCTTGGTAGTGAATTTTTTATTTTTTAAATTGGCATTACAGTTTCAGTTCTCTTCCTGCAAAAATATGTGATTGCCCTGTAAATAATGTTTAGATAAGCTGGTTGCTTATCTGAAATGACAGTTTTTCTAATACTTGTTAGGACACTTTAGAGTAACTCCAGCACAGAATTGCCATAAATATTTCCCATCCTATTTTCTACATGTCCTGACACTCTTGTGCTGCATATTATCCAGATGTCCTTCACTACCAAGATAATTCTCTGAACAGCTCCAGCAGTGCTGGAAATGCCACCTGAAATTGGATGACAAGAGATAATTTTTTATTTTCCTGGTTAACAATAAGCTGGACCCTCTTTGGCAGAGAAACAAATGAAGTCAGAGACTTTTCTCAGCTGCTTGTCTGGCCCGTGTTTGTGTAGCCCTAAATACCTTTGCTGTTTGCTCTCCCAGCCCTTGGCACAGACTGCAGCAACATCCAGGAGCACTGGGTGAGCCTGCCAGTTGTAGCCACCCTCTCCCTTCCATGTCTGAGTGTCTCTGCAGAAATCTTTGTTTGAAGGAACCCAGTTGGCTGGTTCCTGTCTGTCTGTCTCATGTTTCATAGTCTCAAGTTATTAGCTAAGAAGATGCCAGACCTAGAGGGGTCCTCTGCAGCAAAAATGTAATCAAATTCACCTTGGTTGATTTCCCTCTGAACCAAAGAAATAAACACACCAGAGATCCAGGAAAGAGAATCCTAAGAGCCTTCAAAATACTTTTATAGTTCAAAGTACACAAACCTTTTGCTCTGTCTGGATAGACACAAAAATCTGAGATACTGAGTCTTGATTTCTGATTAAATTTTTATTTGGTAAGTAAATCTTTAAAGTTACAATATATATGTATATTAAATATATGTAAATCAGACTATTTTGCCTTAGTGAAGCTAGGGTAAAAACATTCTTTAGAAGCATAAACCATAGGAACAGAAACTGAAATGGAAGCATTCATTGAAATTCATGCCTCTGGAATTTATACATTTATATAACGAGTTTGTTGTGGTCTTTTGTATTAGTGAGCTAAACTCTCAAGTGTGCACAGATGACACGCCGCCCCCTCCCCACTCCCCCCACCCCTCCTTACAACCAGTAATTTTAAGTAAAAAAACATCTGCTTCTCTCTAATGGTTACTTTTTAACTACCTTGTGTGCTCTAATTCTTTTGTTAAGAAAGTTTGAGGTTTCCAAGACCAGTTGTAAACTGGAAAATCTGTTTGTGAGCTAGAACTGAAGTCAGAGCTCAGGTACTGATCTCAGAAAAAAAATCTACTGAGGGTTGTGGGGATTTTGCTCTTTCAAGAAAATGACTTTTAAGACCTCCAAAGATGCAAAATTATTTCAGAGACGTGCATTAGTGGTAATCAGTGTGTGCTGCTGTGGACCGAACTTCACAAAACTCTTTCAGCCTTTCCTCTCTAACTGTGTAAATGTGAAGTAACAATAAATCTTGCTGACAATTGCTGCCAGTCTGTTGGCAGTCAGTGAGCTGCAGTGGGAACAGCCTCGTGCACAATCTGTGCAGCACAGCCAACACCCAGTAACTATCTCCCTAGTTTCTCCTGTGACTTAGAGAACATGTCATTTTTCCCCAGTGAGCAGCCTTTTCGAATGCTGAATTAGTAATATTAGCTCCAAACACTACTAATTTGTCAGCCAGGCTGTGTTTTTCCCAAGTGTTCACAATGGGGTCTGATAACTGCTTTGGAGTGCAGCAGAGCAAAGATGAAAATTCCAAAACTTCTGGAAATCATTTGTATAAGGCATAAAGAAGTGGTGTGAAATTCTTTTTTGTTTTTAACATTAAAATAGGAAGAAAGTGTCTTAAAAAAATTGAAAGTAGTAGATTTTCAACCCTATCCAGTAACAAACTTGAATGCACGCTGATATGGAAGCATATACATAAGTGCTGTGAAGAAACAGAGCTGGAAACATGTTTAACAATATGAAATAGTTCTTCAAAAAAGTGTATTGTCAGGTTCTCTATGTTTTTGGATTTTAATGGCTATCTTGAATAACATTTATCCAAAAGAGAGGAAACCTCTCTACTAAAAGTCACAAATTTCTATTTTATATCATGGAATAATTGCTTGCATACAGTTTTCATTGACATCAGGACAAAATAGTCCTGTACCATATGAACCTGAAAAGCACAAATGGATCAGGGTTGAGAGTTTCATTTTTCTAATCAGCTTTCCTATGCAATTCTTACAGGCAAATGCACACACCCCCCTGTATGTGAAGCCATACACATATAGATAGATAGACTTGTATCTAATTTTCATAAATACATAGCATCTACCTTAAGTAAAAACATGACATTCAACAGACAACAGAGATTTGCTGTGGACTTCAGAAAATTTAATTCAGCTCCTTCCCTTTCATGAATTTCTTTATTTTCAATTCAGGCTCAGTCAAATGCAGCATATGGGTGATATATAAGTAGGGGTTGTTACAGCTAAAACTCTCTGTTGTTTTCCACATTGCAGGGTTCACATCAGGTCAGTATTGAGCTGATTGATTTGGCACAGGGAGGGAAAGGGAACCACTTTGGTGGCTGGGAAAAAGGTGTAGGAAGTGCTTGCCAGGATTGTTTAAAAGCTGGAAGGAAGCTTGTGAGTCATTTGTGGTTATCCAAGGAGTTTTGTCCACATCTGTACAGCACTGCTTTGCAAGGAGAGAAACTGTCATTTAACTGAGGAGTGGATGGCATGGTAGGAACACTGACTGCAGGGAGAGCAGATGTTCCTGAGGAGCTTTGTTATCTTTGTTATCTGCACTCCCTGGAAGGTTCCTCATTCCAGGACTCGTTTCCAGCTGCCACACTGGGGAAGGGCCACGGCACAGGAGCCTGAATTCTGTCTGCTGTGACTGCCACTCATTGCTCAACTGGGCTAATGGACCTGTTCCAGTCCTAAAGCAGCCAGAGAAGTCTGGTCTCTCTCCTGTCTGCAACTTGAATGTCCTTCCTGGTTTTTCAGCTGAATCATTTGTGGATTTTCATACAATTTTAGGAACAGTTTCCATGTTGCCTTTCTGTGCTCTGAAAGATGTGTTATAGGGAAACTTGTAATGTAGGAAAACCTTTACTGTTTCCCTGGTGTATGAGTGTTAAATGAAAAAGAATACACTGGGAGTGAGGACTGCGGGGTAGGTTCTGTTCTGTGAGTTATCACTGATTTTCTTGCCTCTAGGCCTGTCACACAAATAGTTTCAGTGCTGTATAAGCTGAACATCTAAATCTGTGGACTAACATCCACAGATCTCACAAAACAGTGACTCAGGCAGGTCCCTAAAGATCTGATAATCCATGGGGAGGAACATTGCCCGGGGATTGTGGAAATAAAATAAATTTCATTGCTCTTTGAAATTTGTTCTGGGGTGCTCAACATGAGTTCCCAGTTTTGTCATTACCCTTCCTGCACCCACTGTGCATGTCTCAGAACTAACACAGTTTGGACTTACAGTTTTTTTGCACAGTTAGCCAATATTTTTTAAAACACTATAAGATCCTTCCGTGAAGAATTCTGCATAAAGAAATGTACTACCCCTTGCAGAATATATTAGATACTGTGTTTCTTTTATTTTACCTGAATTTTGAGAAAGAATTAATGGAATTATTCAGCACTAGCTGAGCTGAAGCAATGATATTGGTGGTAAAAACTGCCCCTGTGCAAGAATGTTATGTTTTTATTGAAGTGAGTCTTCTGTTTTATGCTAAGCAGTTGCCCTGTGTTTTAATTCCCTCATAAAGATCACAAAATAAAAAAAGGAGGAAAAAAAGGAAAACAGAAGAGTATATGCCATAAATGTTATGTTCACATATTTTTTCCCTACAAAGAAAAGGAAATTGCTGGAAATGTTGATTTGTTTTAAACCTTTCAACAATTGGAGATTATTGAAATACTAAATTACTGGCACACAAGAGAACTAGATGATTGTTGTTCTACATTTACAACACAAACCAAATGATGTCTCAGAAAAAAACAACTGCAGCAAATATTTTGAGTCTTAATTATCAGGCTGAAAAGGCTGATGAACAAAAGAGGGAAGGGGGGATGTGTGGAATTGTGAACAGAAGGACAAACACGTTAAAAAAATTTTTTTAAAGCCTTTGTCAGGCTCAAAAAGAGAAACAGACTTAATTATTATTTTCTCTTCATTCCATTTTGGGAGCTTTATCTGAAACTATAACTTACAAAGAGCAATTATAAGCAAATGGCACCCAGCATGAATACTTCTCTGTGATTTGATTGTCTCATCCTTGGCTCTTACATCAGCACAGTGATGTGATGCCCATTGGAAACCAGCATGACTGGAAGTGTGGAAGGGAAGCCATGCAGTGATTTAAACCTATAGCTTCATTTATCTGCTCCATATGGAATTGCAGCCTGGACAATAGTACCAGTCCATTAAAATGAAGGGCTTATTCCAGTGGAACTTGGCTAGATTAGTTAAAGTATTCTGCAGTTCATGGAGAACAGCAGAGAATATGGAAATAATTTCCTAGAATAATCCAGAGAATTGCTTTATGTTTCTTGTAGAGATCGCTGGGGAAATAATTTAAAAGCATTTTTAAATATCTTCCATTTTCTATTACGAGCCTTTGGATTTCCACAGATTGAGAGAAGTGAGGCATTGTGGCTTAAAAAACTAATTGCAAAACATAAAAATGCTCAAGACTAATGGAACAAATCAGACAGAAAAAAAGATTTCCGTGCAGAAAGATCAATGTTGGAATGGAAGCTACAGATTTTACGTGTCTTCCTCTCAACATCTTCGTTATACATTCTCTTTGTTCCTGTTAGCTTACTAATTAGCTGTGATTTTTTTTAATGCCCCTTACACTGGGTTAATTTTGTCTTACTCAACAGCAGGGGTTTGTGTAATAATAATTCACATAGCAATGTCAATGATTAAAATCCTTTCATTAACATGGTACCTTAAAGATAATGAATGTGAAGCTTTTAGCTAACCCAATCTCTAGGCTCAGAAAGGCAGTTTCTGCAGAAAATAATATTAAAAAAAAAAATTCTTGTACAGATTAGCTTTTGCCAGCAGAACAAATGAGATCTTTGTTTGGGTCTATTACAAACACAAAGTCATACAAATCAAAGAGCATTTATTATGAATACAGTGATGCAGGATGCTTCTCTTGACAAAAGAATTCTAATAATGTACTTGAAGAATGCAGAGCAGGCATTCAGAAGTGCTAATTTTCTGGCATTTTTTGTAGACAGCATTGTCAAGGCACAGATAATCAGCTGGGGGGTCAGAGTGCCTCGAGCTGAACGTTGGCAGAGATGTGGCAGAAGGTGCTGTGGGTTGGCTACGTCACTTCTCTGCAGCCCCTTCGAGAATTTTAAACAGGTTTATCTGTCAGGATACCAGAAGTGAGGCTCAGTAATTAGGGACACGAGATAAATTACCATTTTGAAAAGTTTTAATAAGTGCTAGAACAACTGTTCTACTGAATTTGCTGTCTTTTCAGAAAAATACCCTTTCACCCATGTTCTAATGATTCTTACATTTCATTTTTGCTAAGTGCAGAAGATGTTTACTGAATGAATTCATGCACATACAAATACTATAACTGATAAAGAAAGGTGCCTTAGCAGCAGCAGCA